TGGCTTTATTCACCACAATCAGTAAAAGACAAAGATGACCTTTAAATGAGCCAGTGCCAGCAACCAGACAATTTCCCCTTGCAAGCCAATGCTCTCAGAGGCCATATGGTGCTGGTCTAGTGGAGCATTCTAATAAAAGGCAACACTTTCACTCTTTCTTCTTCTTCATCATCATCATCATCATCTTCTTTAAAAGGGTGATGTTGGAACATCCTTAAACTCTTCCAGAGAGAAAACAACCCAAGGTTCTTCCTTTCAGCCATTTCCAAGAAAAACCTTTTGTATCATTTTATCTGCCATCATCATCTTCTTTAAAAGGGTGATGTTGGAACATCCTTAAACTCTTCCAGAGAGAAAACAACCCAAGGTTCTTCCTTTCAGCCATTTCCAAGAAAAACCTTTTGTATCATTTTATCTGCTGACAACACAGTTGTTCTCCCATGTAAGTATTTCAGACTGATCATTTCAAGAAAAACCACAACTGCAGTCTGAATCAAGAGTAAGAAATGTTTTTAACAACTCCTGCATCTTCTGCTGGAGCCCTTTTCTTAAAAGACGTTTAGATTTTACAAACAAATAAAATCTCACTCCTTTTTCTTTTGTCTTTTCCAAGATGAACTCTTTGGGTTTTTCTTTGTTTACTTCTTTTCTTTCTGCTGAAGGAATGTTGATACCAGAACTACTGAGAGATGCAACGCTTGCCTCACAAACTCTTGTGTGAAGGTTGAAATCAGTTTCACAGCTACCCACAGACTCTGCATTGATCAACTTATATTGTAATAACTCCGAGGCATCTGTGGCATTTTTGCAGGGGTAATGCAGTTTCGCTTGATAGATTATTTTGGTATCGTTGATGATATTGTTCAATATTTTATTTCCTTTTGCTCAAGAAGCTAGCTCCACAAGAGAGGGAAATGTGAACCAAACAGAACATCCTTCTCTTTCCATTTCTTGACTAGTAATTTCACAGTTTTCTTTTTATTGTATTGAGGAAAAGCTTGTGATTAATTTAAGCACTTCTTATAGCAAATTCCAAGAAGATACAAAGATATCTAAAATATATAGTTTTTTTGAGTTACCTTTTAGCCTAAGCATCATTGCCATTTAAAATCAGATGGTGCACACAGCCAATTTATCAAAAAGAAATATTTTAGTGAGTTTCTGAGATGCAGTCTTTGGTTTGTTTTTAAGTTATGCACTTATAAGAAGGTTTCTTTTTTGTGTAATCCTTTTTTAAAGTGTTTGTGTAATTTATGTGGAAAAAAATGAATAAAAGGGGCAAAGTATCAGTCTCAATTATTAGAAATACCTTTTTAAACATAACATATTTCTTCACTTGACGTTTGTATTGATTTTTCTAGAGGAATGTGGCTTCAAAGAAAAAACAGCAGCTGCCTGAAAGACCCACTTTGAGTTATAGAGAGGGGAATCTCTGATTTTTCAGTTTATTTCCATTTTGTATCCTAATAGCCATGAATTTAAGCATATCCTTAATTTCAAGCATGTAAACTTGAAAGTTAGCCAAGGCTATAGACACACATAGTCAATCCAGCTCCCTAATCTGGGGCTTTCAAGCTCTATCATCTCTTTTTCAGGACATTTGGAGGTCTCCAGTTTTGGCTAAACTGAATGATAAAATATATTTAAATATTAAATACTATGTAAACTTTAAATAGCACATAGCAAAATGCTGAATGCTCAAGTCTTTTTACATCTAATTTTTAAAATGAACTATGGGCTGAAAAGATAACCTTACTATCAGAATGATGCTTCTGTTCAACATAAACAATGAACAAACATTAATGTAAATAAATGAAGAAGCTGAAAAGCCTACTGCAGCATTATTTCCAGCAGATCAAAAAATTCTCCAAGAACTGTCCCCATGAGTGACAGGCAAATTAACCCCAGTGGGAGGCTCATCAGCTTCCAAAATGTGTTGTTTTTAGATAAGCCTCCTGCCCACATGTTAAATTATTTTTTTTCTGGCATCATACCATAATACAAAAAAATCCCTCTTTGGGTATTTATTTTTAAACAGTAATTTTTTAGTTTATTAAATGTTATTCAATTTATTATGGCCACCCACTCCGCAAGACTCTGGGCAGCTTACAATATCCAAATATACAATTAAAACAGTTAAAAACATGAAACAAAATGGGGAGATCCCAGACTAAAAACAGCCATAACAATAAAAACACGACAGGGGCTCCACAGACACAATATCCCCAGGCCTGGGAACATAATTAATTAATTAGGAATTAACATTTATAATGAATAACCTAAAAGATGCAGGTTTGGCTATCAAGCACCACTAGATATTAAAGTGTTGCTTGGAATCACGCCTTTGAAGTGATTTGGCATTCAAGGAAAACAGACATCTTCATAGCCCTATCTGCAATATCACTGGTTGGGTTCATACAATGCATTAAACTCTAAATAAACCTGATTAACAAAACACTAGTTCTGTGTTCCCATAACGTGCTAAGCCCAAATAAAGAAACCATGCTAAATGATGGCCTGTTTCACATTACATGCTAAAGCAATGAGTGAATATTTGCAATATATTGAATAACAAACTAGGGTAACCCCATTTTACCTTACATTAGTGTGTGGCACGAACCCAGCCAATTCTGTCTGAATATCATTACTAGAAAAGGGAATGGATGTGTATGTCTTACAGGGTTTCAAAGAGATGTGTCAATCACATTTTAAAATGCCTTCTTCCCCCCCCCCCCCACCTCCCAGTTTATTTCTGTACATAGAATAAAGAGGACACCATTTTGTCCTTTGTCTCAAGCAGTAAAAAGTCTTAAATTGACTCTGACAAGACTTGTCTGATGGTTAAAATAATGATGGAGTCGTTGGTGCTCTCTGAGCTTGGTGGTTTGTTTGCAGATGTTTTCTCTCCACACTGATGATGTTGCCTAGTTGGGTAATGAAATGCCTGCAAGCAAACAACCAAGCTCAGAGATCACCAGGGACTCCACAGTTCAGCCCTGAGCTACATATTTCTCTTCTTTTGGGTTAGGATAAGGGAAAATTATGTTGTATTTGGCTAGAAGTATTCTTTAATTCCATAGGAAAATTTATCATTCTGATGTACTGCTGCTATGGCCATTCCCTCAACCTTCTTCAGAATTCTGCAGTATTACATTTCTCATTTTGGATTCATATGGATGCAGTCATAACTTTATGAGGACAGAGATTTGAGAGGATGAAAGATCTGTTTTGGAGGATTAATGATGAATTCCTAGTATCAGCCAGCCTTGTACAGTGGCTATTATACAATAGGATAATAAGTCAGCCTGCTGGGGAAGCCAGCAGTTGTTTTAATTCAGGATGTGCATTGGATTTGGCTAAATCCCAGATTTTGAGATGAAGGGGTATAATTTAGACCCAATTTTCAATGTCCTGAAGCAGAGCAGGCTAGTCTGAACTTGATCTGGTCCTTAATAAAGTCCTAGCCCCAACATAATCTCTTGCAATGTATGCCCTGTGGCAAAGAGAGAGAGGATTTTCATTGTTTATATAAAGTACCATGGTTTTTCTATGCATGGCCAAGCCACTATGCTATTGTGGTGCGAGGAGAAGAAAAATCACAAGGTTGCGTAGGGTGCAAAGCTCCATCAACCCCAAGAGCCTCTTCCAAAGAATCCATAACTAGGAGAAGATACAGTGTGCTGGTAAGTTCCTACACTAAACATTTCAGGATCTGTAAATGTCTGTTTTATCTTTGTGACTTGCTTTGTTTTTCGCCACTTAATGTTTTGGATTATAGTTATCCCAGGGGTGTTCACAGGGTATGGTCAAAAAAGTGAAGATGGTACTGCAACAGTGTAGTTGAAGCTCTGCTTGTTTTATCCATGCGTCACATCTTGACTTTTTTGACCACACCCTGTGGGGACCTCTCAATTATCCTCTCTCCCATTCAGAAGATGTGCCTGAACATAAGCTTCTTCACACCATTCTGAGAAGCTACCAGTGATCAGAGCTACTCTATCTTGCAGGCTTCACAGTGTTTCGGCTTTGCTCAGGTAACAGCTGAAGCTTGAGACAACTTGCTCTAACTGGCCTCCCCAAGAATGTGTCAGTTCCTTGTCACCAGAGCACCGTTGCTGCTTTCTCTGTCTTCCTCTCTGAGGCTGTTCCAGATGGAAAATAATAAGAATCAAAATATTTCAAAGACCGAGAGAAGGAGGGAGGAAGGGAGGGAGGAAGATGGGAATCAAGATGTGAAAACACAGGCTGGGATGATGGTGTCAAAGAGAGACATTCATCAAAATAGAAGGAAAGCGGCAATATCCTCAGGGTAAACAATTCTGAGAGTTTCTAAAAAGTGTTTCTTTTATGGATATCATAGTTACTGTGGGTTTTCAATATATACCTTAGAATTGCCTCCATTATGGTGATGGCTTTCAGTAGGCAAATCATCCTTGTCACTGGATGTGTCAAGGGCACAGCTTTCCTCAGGCTGAGAACCATAGTAGCCTTTAAATGGTATGGGGGACTGAAAAATGAGGGGGGATCTCATTTTAAAAGAGGGTGGGGTAAAATAAAAGATTTTAGAAGGCAAGTGGTGACTGAACGCTTCATTTAATTA